TCTAGAGAAGCCCTATGTAGAGAGCTGTAGTGCTTGAGATGAGCTGTGTATAGTTTAGGTTTGCTTGAGTGTTTTGAGATGCTTTCCTTTACTTTGAACATGTTTTGGACGACTGTGACCAGTCAGACCTCTTCAGAAGAAGAGTGGATGAACAGAGATACAGTCAAACCGACTGTGATGTTTGGCTCAAGAGCGGGATCGTAAAAGGGGACGCTTGCGCTTCCGTGTTTTCACTCGAAGGCATCCCACCTGAACACGGCCACTTTTTGCGCACAGCAAGGGGTCCACTTCATGCCGGTTGGCCGAGTCCACGGGCGCCTGGGAGCCCGAAACCCGCAAACTGCTCCTGCAACTTTCCCGGACGAGATGACAGTTGCGGAAATCAGGTTCAGCTGTCGAGATTAAAGCAGAAGATGCTGCGAGATGACCCAACCTGGCTGTCAGCTGGCATTCCGCCCACAGACAGTGAGCACGGCACCTCGAACTGGGGAGGATGCTGCTGCCCTCCATGCAGACCTCGTGCAAGAACTGTCCGTTGTCATCCGTAGCCACAGGGCGCGAGCAGTTCTCCGCCGGAGAGCAGGGCTTGCCGTCTCTTCCAGTTGAGCCACGGGTTCTTTCTTTCTCACCTTTTGACTCCTTTGTGGACATTCCCTTTGAGGGACTCTGCTTTCCATTCCACCAGGGTTCCTCGCCCAGAATGGCTTGCTCTGCTAACTCCCACTTTCTCCTTCCGGGAGTGCTGATCTCGGCGGGTTTTGGACTTTTGCCTCTCGCGTGGCCCAGTCAGCAGTGCTGGGTTTTTCCCCGCGTGGCTGTTGATTGGCGTGCTTTTGGCACGTCAGTCACATTCGTCGACGAGGTTGGAGATCCAAAGATCTCCATCCAACTGGGCAAGGAAGAGAATTTGCGAGAAGCACTTGGGATGTTGCCCGAAATCCCAGGATTGAACACCGATGTGAAGCCTGAGAGGTTTGAGGGATTACCGGTGGGTAGACCTTGAGAAGACACAGAGGTTGGCGGATCTTCCAGCACATGAAGGAGAGCCACCATGGTTTTGGGTTGAAGGGAACAAGACATCAAGATGCCCTGCGTTTCATGGGGGGAAGGTGATTGGACACGCCGTGAAGTGTCGGAACAAGTACAAGAAGTATTTAGAGCAGGAGCACAAGCGTATCGTACCGTTGGATGAGGATGAACAGCCAAGGGAAATCGAGATTACCGATGGAAAGGATGAGTTTTTGTCCGAGCCCCAGGAAGAGCCAGAAATGTCAGAAGAGAGACCAAAGATACCAGAGTCAGAGTCAGGGGAAGAGAATGATCGAGATTTCCAGAGTTTGATGATGTTCCGTCCAAGAGACCACCAGAGAGCCAGGATCCAGATGATCGTCCAACGCCAATCAATGGAATACGTACCGAATCCTTACGAGCCCCAGAGAGGTTGAAGATGATCGGATGAGCGATGGCTATGAGCCGACAGAGGTCCCAGAGGGGTTTGAAGTACTTGAGACACCGGAAAGCCCCATGGATCTAGACATTTTCCAACAGATAGACCACAAGGAAGAAAGAGTAGAAATCATGACGAAGGTATGAACCCTAAAAAACCAGCAGGCTCAAATCCTGTTAAGAACAGATGCCAACTTGTGATACCAAGTTACGCACACTCTAAACCACTCTTATGGGAAACTCTTTTCGAACATTCTGGCAGGGCCCTGGAACAATCTTGTCTGGAACAATCTTGTAGGAGAGCCCGTGAGCCCGAAGAGTGCCTTCCGTGGCCTTGCTGAGCAAGTGTTTGTCTACGCCCCCTTGCCCGAGACGAGAGCTGCTTGTGGCGAGCGTAGGAGCTTTGCGGCAGAGGTCGTTTTGAAGACTTGGAGTGATTGTTGGCAGATTTAATGTCAAGAGCAGCCCGCAGCGGGCCAGAGCAGCCAGCCATTTTGGCAAGGCCAGAGCAGACCGCGGTCGTAGCTTACTTAATTAAGATCCGTTTAGATCTGTCGGAGCCTCGTGTGCGCAGCGCGCAGCATGCGTACAATACTGGGCCAGGTGTTCTGAGGTTTTGACATGGGGATCGCTCTAGGTAAGCTAGACAAGAAACACAAAGCCTCCTGCTCTAGGGAAAAGGAAAGAGCACCAACAGACAAGTCTGCCAACGAAATCAGCCTCCTGTTTGCGAGCGGGGCATATGAATCGCTCTGTAGGATAGACGCAGGTGCACATCCGTGGCAGTGGATGCTTCCCTCTCTGATGCAAAGCTTCATGGTTGGACAGAGTAGCATCATAGAGCTCTGTCCCCTGCGTTGAAGATAATTTAAAATACCGACCAACACGTCCTGTGTGACAGGGGCAACCGATGAACCAAACCTCCTTATAACAACCGGGTTTTTCATGTCCAAGTGCACGTGTACGCTAAGGGGCGGACCGAGGCACGCGCAAAAGAGAGAAAGGGACGAGGTGACAAGACATGAAGGCAGAAAAGACCTGGAAAAAAAGGGGAAAGGACTACCTGTACTGCCTGTACTTATACCTTGTCAATCCAAGATTGGAATATGCACTGGTTTGCGCATTGAGATTTGTATGCAGCCAACTTACCAGCAATGGCCCCCAACCTGTGATGGCCTCCAACCTAAAGGCAATGGCCTCCAACCTACACTTGTTGGGTAACCAGGCTGTGTGATGTGAGTTCAAATTGCTGTCGTTTCTGTACGCAACCAACCAACCTACTAGCGATGGCCTCCAAGGAATTTGTGCGTTCGTGGGCCCCTTTTTTGTTTGTCTCCATGGGGCATGCACACTGTTGCTTCAGCCTGCTGACCGAAGCAGACGAGTTAAACTATTGTAACCTATTGTTCGCGAGCCGAAGCGGTGTGCATTTCCATAAAACACTCTTGGTAGCGTGGAACTGCAAAAACCATTACCAAACAGTTTGTTTGTGACAAGGCCCGTTTGGTGTTTAGCCATATGATTCTCGACTTGGCCACTTGCTTTGGGGGGTTTCAAGAAGGTGTAGACTGGAACTATTCGGCACAGATTTCACAAACATGAACCATATAGCGCAGGTGGCTGAAACATCCATTTGCCAAAAAAATGGTGTGAAGCTTGGACAACCTTGTTGTTTTGCGATTGATGTCGGGTCTGTCTCGAACGGTTTCAGTCACCTACTGTCTTCCGGGCCGCCGGGGGTTTGCTCTGGGTCTTTGGACGATCGCCTGACCTGCCAACGATTGGCTCGAAGTTCGGACCGTGCGATGGCGATAGTTGACCCGGTGCCGGACTCGGAACCCTGAGAAGTCTCAGACTTGACTGGTGAAAGAGAAAACATTTTCAACTTTTCAAATTGCCCGGACTTGCCCGGACTCCTTTTCAATTTTTGCCTTGGACTGATGCAACGGTGCTGATGATACGATCCACATTTTTCCGGAAAGGGCACGTGGGTGTCCCCAGCATCTCTTGGACACCCAGCATGTGGCTGAGTTTCACAGAGCTGGATCCCCTTTATCCTCCTTGTCTCCCGACACCAAGATCGCTTCCTTTCCAAGACGCTGTTGGGATTGCGTCGCTTGCTGTACTAGGTTGATGATAGGAGCTGGTATGCACCCATCAGCCAAAGCCCGGTACTCCTTGTCACTGTATGTCCAAGACCATCCAATTCGATTGAGGCACTCTCCCAGGAGCTCAGCCTGCTTCTTGTCGATCTTCTTGCTGTTCAGGTCCTGGGTTTCCTCCTTTCTTTGCTCTTCGACAGCTGGTAAAGGCGGCAGTCTTTCCTTCGTCCTCCACCGTGACGGCCTCGTCCTTCAGATGCCTGGGCCTTGTCGAAGCCTTGGCCTCGTTGTTTAAGCCTTACAAGCCTCAAACAAGCCTTACAAGCCTTCGCTTCAGGTGATGCTGTTTCTTTCTCTGAAAACTCCTCATGGTCTGGTAAGGTGTGCTTCATCTTTGCATACTTCTGCCTCCTTTACTTGTCCCTTCCTTGCTCCTCCTCAACTGCGTTGCAGCCTAGTTTTGGGTTATTTTTCCAAAGTCATTTCAGCACCTGGAGATTTTCGCATGTCATGATGTCACACGTCACTTAGCTTTCACTTTCAATCTGCGGCAAGACACCAGCGCCGACAGTAGGCACTTGAAGGTGGAGCGGGCAATCAGGTTAAGTAAACCAGTCTCACACCAAGATCCTGCAACTCTTGTTCTCACGAGCAAAGCAGTTTGGAAACCGAATCGTACTTGGACACTTCAACCGACCTGCCGAAGTACCTTCGACCCGGAGAGCCGCGGGTGTTTCTTCGGAGACGGCGGGTCAAATCGACGCTTCGCCGAAGCCTTCCCTCGAAGAAACCCTGCTATCATTTGGATGACTCAATTTGACCAGTTCTTCACTTTGCCAGCCTAGTCTTCTGACAAAAGATCAAGGGATCAAGGGGGGTATTCTTCTTTTCAGGTCCTTTCTTTTCAGTGTTTACTGTATGGGCCGATTCTTTTGATTCTGAGTCATTGGGCCCAACAGCTTGGTCGAGAACACTTCGCGGAAGATGACAGCGATTCCACTTTCACAACGAGTTCAACAGCGTCTCTCTTTACATGTTCAACAGCTGTGGCTGTGCTGTCTATAGCTGGGGAGGGCGGCTACACTCCAAGGAACCAGTGACGCCAGCGGCAGCGGCAGCTTCAGAAGCGGCAGCAGCTCGCTGCTCAGATTGCGTTGTGAGCCGGAGGATGAAGCACCAGCCATGCGTTGGTTCTGGTGAGCATGAGGGGTACCGACGGGTAGACTTCACCGAGTCGTTCGTCTCAAGCCGTTCGTCACACTTCAGTTCGTCACTGGCCAACCATGGGGAGTCGCAGTATCCAATGCAGAACGGGTGATGCTTATGGCCAACCGTGGTATGTCAAAGCGTTTGTCTGTTGCGATCCCATTTTGTCACGCCCAATTTCCCACGAGAGCTTGAAGTATCTTGAAGCCCCAGCTGAGGTCGGGGGTTGGCGCAACTGGGAACACCATGAAGGCGTGCTTCAAATGGGATTGTCCGAAATCGGGCTCTGATGTATTATTGCACCTAGGTTTGAGGATGCTGAGGAAGCAAATAGCAAACTGTCCACAGATACACCATCTTCCGCAGCTGCTGCCAGTTCACAGGAGGTTGAAAGCGGAACCATGCAAACCAAGGCTGTGCAGTTTGACCAAAAACATGTGATATGTTGTCAGATCGACCTACTCAACCAAAAGAAACCGACACTGTCAATCGAATCCCTTTTCAGGATCCTTTGAAGGATCACCCAACACCATCGCCTCGCGTGCCATGTGCCCATGTCAGAATCCGAGGATGAGTTGGAGAAGCGCTTCCGACGCCTGGAGGAATCGCAGAAGCTCGGAGCGCTTCCAGCTGCGGTTCCAGCTGCGCTTCCACCCCAACCCCTCGCGGCGGTGCCCATCGCGTCGAGCGAGGCCCACGGGAAGTGGCCAACGCCTCAGCCGAAGGCGGCCGCGGTTGCGACTGAGCCGGTAGAGGCCGAGGAGGGTGAGACGGAGATCTCGGTGGCGTCCGAAGGGCCCGACGATCGTGCCCTCGCCGAGCCGAAGGGCTCGTGGCCGGCGCCGCAGCCGAAGTCGAAGGTTCGGAAGTCGCTGGGGGCGGAGGAGCCGCAGCCGGAGGCTCCGGAGGCTCCGGAGGCTCCGGAGGCTCCGGAGGCCGACGTGGCCGACGTGGCCGATGAAGCGGTGGAAGCGCCGAGCATCTTCGTCCCGCCGGTGCCGAAGTGCATCCCCTCCAAGGCCCGACCGCTGGCGGCGCCGCTGGAGGACCCAGCCTCGGGGAGTCCTGGTGAGGAAGCTTCGAGCGCTGTGGCGGTGATTGCTCCTCCTCAGACGGAGCTTCAAGTCTTTGGAGAGTCCAAACCAGTGGAGGTCATCAACTGGGATGCCGTGCGTGAAGCTGAATATCATGGTGCCCTTCCAGAGCCCGGGAAGGACTACGTGGTGTTTGGACCACCAACGGCTCGAGCCATGCAGTTGAAAGAGGGGCTGGAGAATATCAAGGACTTGACGTCCGAGGACTGGTCTTCCATCGCTCTCTCCGTTGAAGGAGCGCTAATCCGGTGCTTGATCTGTGAACAAACGCTCCATGGACATGAGGCACTTCAGCAGCACATCACCATGAAGACCGGCAAGAAGGCGCATCAAGGACATTGGGGGTACTTGACGGAAACCATGCAGTGCTGGCAAAAGCTGCAGCGGGATGGCTGGCGCTTCCGGCATCACAGTGCGAGCATCTACCGAAACCGCTTCAAGTGCCGTCTCTGCGACACAGAGAGGCCCTGGTGGGAAGCCTTCCAAGGTGGGCGTGACAACCGAGGCCACATCTGGACCAAAGCACACCTGCACAAAACCAAGGTCGAATTGAACCGACCGGCCTTTCCAGAGGAGCAGGAGAACTGGGACAGGCTCTTGAGTCCCTACACGCGGCTGGTGCTGGACCGGCACCTCGACGTGCTGGTGCCGGGTGCCGCGCTGCCGACCGCATCGACCGCGTCGACCCCGTCACCACCGTCGACGCAGACGGTAGCAGTGCCGGTCCCGCTGCCAGTTGGTCCAGTGGCAGTGCAGAACTCGCTGCCAGCTGCTCCGATGGCGCCGGCTGCGACTGGCGGGGAGAGGAGCAACAGGCGAAACGTGTTGTTCAAGTGTTGAAAAAGTATTTTTCAGAAACCTTTTGCCCACAAGAACATAGGAGGCCGTACTGGGTGGAGACCCTGTATAGGTACCGGGTAAGAACGTCCACCGTTTTTTCTCCGTTGCCGTTGGGTCCGTCCTGGGCTGCTCGACAGACCGAAGCTGGCCGCTCGATGGACCCCTTGTAGCTAGAAGCGATGGCCTTCACGCCCAGTAGCGTCTTTGCTCCTAGTAGCTTCTTGTTACTACTAGTAAGGCACTTGTTACTACTAGCGATGCACTTGTTCCTAGTAGCTTCTTGTTAGTAGCATCTTTGCTCCTAGTAGCCAGGAGCCCCGTTCGTAGCTGTTAGAAGCGATGGCCTCCAGCCCCAATAGCGATGGTTGGCCTTCACGTTTGGCCTAGGAGCCATGCGAGCGCGAGGAGAAGGAGCTCGAGAAGACGAAGCCCTTCTCGGAGGAGGCGAAGTAGCGGTCGAAGGCGGCGAACTTCCAGTCGGCGCGGACCCAGAAGGTATCGAAGGAGGAAGAGAATGAGGAAGGCGTCTTCTTCTTCTTCCTCCTCCAAGAAGTCTCGCAAGTCGAAGAAGAGGAACTCAAGCAGTTCGTCTTCAAGTTGATCGTGTACAGTTTCTACATCTTCGTCAAGTTCAGTTCGCCTGAGGGGCTCGGGTTGAATCACCTCATGCAGAATTTGCATGACTGCTTGAATCACCTGAATCGCCTGAGCTATTCAGAAGGGGAATCGCCGCTCGCCGAAGTGGCCTGTCTCACAGCCATTCTTAGCATCTTAGATACGAGTGGATCTTCTTTTTGTTCTGGCAGCAGAAGAAAAATGACATGTCTTTCAGGTCAGTTTGATGCACCCCTGCATTGTGTACTCCTTCGCCGCAACATCCGTGTTTTACCAATTTCAACATCACTCGATTTCTGTTGCGAATTCCATCGGCATGGGCTTAGACTTTTCATCTAGGCTCTCGGACTTCGAGACGGACGCCATTTGGCGCAGGTTGACTGGAAGGCTCTTCGGGTTCGACTTTGGGTCCAGCTGGAACTGTCGGATCCGCCCCCCCACGTGTTCGCAGTAGATCGTGGTGGAGTCACCTGCGACTCGCTTCTTCGCCGATGGATGCTGGGATGGTGTCGTTCTTTTTCACGGCTTTTTTTCCCCCCCAAGAAAGACAGACATGAAAGCAAGAAAGGAGCAATCAAATAAGAAGAACTATGCCAATGCTAGCTGTATCATTGGGTCTACATGTGTGTATGAAAGGCTGACAGATCATTTTGTAGTCTTTGCAGATGGTGGCTGCAATGTCATTTTGTAGAGCTTTGGGTTGTTTGCCATGATCTCCGTTTGATGCCAAGGACAGATATTGTAAACATATCCCAAAGTTTCCGAAATGAAACACTGGCTGTGCGATGCAAGCGTCCCAGTCATTGTATCCCAGTGGACACTCGAGATATTTCTGCAACATGTGTGTCTTTGGAACAGAGTCAGCATCTAAAAGATAGGTGTGGTAGAGAAACAAATTTGGACAGGCAAAGAACCATTTGTAAAAACGGCAAACCCAAACATAGCCCCCCCGATTCATGTACCTTGGCTTTTGGAAGATTGGCAACTTCGGAGAACCCCAAGTAGAACAGTGTGACAGGAACAGATACGGAAGTAGAAAAAACTGACTTCAAAGACACCATTGACAAAAGCAATCTGACTTTCTAAATTCAGCGCCAAACTTGTTTTGGAGCCCGAGCTTGGGTGCCAAACTGTTTTTGATTTTTGAACTCCAAACTTGTCTTGGAGTCAAACTAGGGTGCCAAACCATTTTAGATTTTTGAACTCCAGCTCCAAACTTGTTTTGGAGCCCGAGCTTGAGTGCCAAACTGTTTTTGATTTTTGAACTCCAGCTCCAAACTTGTGTTGGTGTCCATACTCAGGTGCCAAACCGTTTTGATTTCTTAACTCCGGCGCCAAACTTGACTTGGAGTCCAAACTCGGGTGCCGAACCGTTTTTGATTTTTGAACTCCAGCGCTATACTTGCTTTGGAGTCCATACTCGGGTGCCAAACGGTTTTGAAGTCAAGTAATGAGGGTCCAGTTATTTCGGCGGCAGGAGTGTCAAGAAGCTCAACATCCAGTGGAGACATTTCTGGGAGGCAGGGCGTGGCCTCGGAGGGCTTGGCGTGCTTGGTGGCTCAAGCGATGTAGTGAAGCAGTGTTGATCGACCAGAATGTCCATTGGCGGAACCCTGTTTTCAACAGCCAGAGGCAAACCTTTTCAATAGTCCATTGTGCGTGCTGGCTGAGTGCTGACTGAAAAGTGTTGAGTACTTGCTCAGTGGACCTCCGGTTGCTCGGAGATGGTTGAAAAGGTGTGGGCCTACAGCCTACATCGATCAATGTTTCGCACTAATCACTATAGACTTTCAAGCCTTGTTTCGGCCTCCTTCGAAGTTGCCAAATGCTCCAACTTGTGCTACAGCACATATTTCTTGGTGCCACTGAAAGAGAAACACAATATCTATCTGATATGCGCGTCAGGTATTGAGGTTGATGGCTGCTGGCACTGCACTTGGAGGCCAGCCATTCTCAGTCCGGCCGTGATAGATCCTGCATTCAAGAACGCTTTTGATTCACGTCCTTTTTTGCTTCTATGTATATAGATGAAACAACATGTGAGAGAAGCGCTTCAGACACACACTTTGCAGTCACAGGGTTTGTCAAGAGATCCACGTTGCAGGGCTCGGTTTCGGTCCGATCGAAGCGCAATCGAAGAACCTTGGATCGAAGCCCCTTGCCCGCCCTGTCTCCACTTGACGTTTCAGCAGAATCCCAAGATCTCGCTTCCTCCAACTTGGTGTCAATCATCCACCAACAATTTGATCAGCTGCTTTGCCTCAGCTGGCTGGGATGTGATCAGTTCATCCAATCCCGTCCTGTTTTGCTTGCGTTCAGGTTGAACCGAACGCGGATGCTTTGCTCAGCTTGGCAGGTACCTTAAGCCAGCGCATTTTTTTTTGAGGCGAAACTTTTCCCTTATCTTTTGTGGATGTCATTTGCCAGAGGAATTGATCCTTGGAAAGCGGCCCCGTATCGTTGGTGAGGTCGTATCGGTGAGGTCGTGCGAGACTGGCCTCACCGGTCGCAGACCTTTTGGATGAGTATGGCTTTGGAACCATACGTCGGAACCATGTTTGGAAAAGTAAGCCGATGTTGTTCGCTGCAGTCGGAGATTGGAGCCTTCGATGGTGTACGGCGCCGCCGATCGAAGGAGATCGAACGGCGCACCACATCGGCGGCCGGCGCCAGATCTGCGACGCCGCGCCCGGTCCCCGGTCCCCACGGATTGTACACCAGGTTGGGTTGTATTGGAGATAACCTGATCGCAAGACAAAGACTAGCAGATGCCAACTGAGGAGAACTGTGTGCAAATTGCCATTTGAACATTTGGTTGCTAGTATCGCATGTCCTTTTTGAGGTGCTGCAGAAACATTGAGGACCAAAGATTGTGAACGGCCACCACTTCTTATGATTAGAACAAGATGGCGAGAGAATGTGCTTGTCATTCCGTTGCCGTTCTTTGACCTTTATGTGTTTGGCACTAGGCTTAGGGTATCGGGAACCAATACAGTGATGCAAGAGATTGGCAGGAATGAAGGTCTTCCAAGTCTTCTTACGTCTTGTTCCTCTGGAATTCCTTGTGGCTTGTCCATTCCTTGGGTCTATCGAAACCAAAAGACATACAGTTCCACACGTTCGAATCTTAGAATGGCGAAGCCATGTGCGGTGAATGTATTGACTGCATCCGAGGGAGGGGCCGAAAGCGCCGCCAAGCTTGTGCGCTCAGATGAGACTGCTGTGCTGCTGAAAGGCTTTGTGAGCAAGGCCCGTGGCAATGAAGAGTTGTTGAGCTGGGCTGAAGAGTTCTGCAGCCTTGGCGAGCCTGTGAAGGATCAACTTTGCTACTACGAAGGTCATGAGGCTTTAGATGGGGAATCCTTCCCTGAGCAATTGAAAAGGCAGTTGGAGGCCGATTTTGCAGAGTGTGCGCAGACCTTGGCAGATGAAGGAGTGAAGCAGTCCGAGGTGGCCAAACGCTCCTCGGCAACCAAGGCGCTCTTCGAAATGCTCCAAGAGCTCATGCAACTGCACCGGTCATGCATGGAGAAGCCGCAAGGTGAGGACGGTGGTGAGGACAGTAATTTGCGTTGGAAGATCAAGCTGGAAGTCAACCAAGACGGAGCTTGTACCAAATACCACGATGACTGGGTGGAGTTGCGCTTCGCCATGACTTTGGCCGGTGAGGGCACGGTGGTGGCGGAGCAAACGGAAGTGGATTGGGGCTTCTATGAGTCATGTGAGGGTGTGATCCCAGCTCTGGCAGAGAATCCAGACCTCAGTGCTGAGAAAGCGAGTGAGGTGATCAAGAGCTGGAATCAGCGGGTCAGCAAAGGAGAGGTCACGACAGAAGCAGGTGAGACATGCGAAGGATTCATTCCTTTAGGGACTTTTTGAAATGGAGCTTACTCAACCACTCAAGGCTCTTGTAGTTTCTATAAATCCCCAAATTGCTTTGTTGGAACCACCTGGTTTTCAGGGAAAGTTACTTCTGGATTTGTTTTGAGCCCTGCTCAGGTGACGTGTCAATCATGAAGGGAGGCAAATTGACGAAGCGGCCTTGCCTGCATCGAGCACCTTACAGTGCTGGAGAAGGCTCCCAGCCTCACAGGTTTTTGATCACCGTGGACCACATCCCTTTGGATGAGCTGCAGAAGTTCGTGGCCATGGACTTCGGAGACGATGAACACGAAGAAGAAGGGGAAGACGACGTCGCACCGGCACAGGCGCAGGCGCAAGCGGACGTCGCGGATGGGCTCTTGCCTGTGACTGTGCTGAGCGGTTTTCTGGGCGCGGGAAAGACGACCTTGCTGCGACATGTGCTTGAAAACCAGGAGGGTCTTCGTGTTGCTTTGATCGTCAATGACATGGCGGAAGTGAATGTGGATGCCATGCTGGTGAAGTCCAACACGGAAGTCTTGACCGGTAAAGACAAGATGATTGAGATGCAGAATGGGTGCATTTGCTGCACTTTACGAGGAGACCTCATTGAGAATGTGAATAAGTTAGCTGCTGAGAAGCGCTTTGACTATTTGATCATCGAAAGCACCGGCATCTCCGAGCCGATGCCCGTGGCTACGACCTTTGTGGCTGAGCACGAAGGTCAGGAGTTGTTGGGGCAGGTGGCGCGCTTGGACACGCTGGTGACGGTGGTGGATGCCATGAACTTCCTGAAGGACTACGGTACCACGGATCTGCTGGGCGACCGCCCGGCGCTGGGCGCGGAAGCGGACCAGCGGACGATTGCGCAACTGCTGGCAGATCAAGTGGAGTGTGCGAATGTGATCGTGTTGAACAAGATCGATTTGATCAAAGAAGATGAAGTGGCACAGCTTGAACTTCTACTGAAAAAATTGAATCCAAAGGCCAAGGTCATCCACTCAACCTTTGGCAAGGTGGACCTCAAGCTTTTGCTGAACACTCGCAGCTTTGATATGGCCGAAGCTGAGCAAATGCCCGGGTGGTTCCAGGAGTTGGCTGGGAATCATGTGCCCGAGACCGAGGAGTACCAGATCTCCAGCTTCGTGTTCCGTGCGCAGCGGCCCTTCCATCCCAAGCGCTTGGACCAGTTGTTTAGCGAAGGCTTTGATGGTGTGCTGCGCTCCAAGGGTGTACTTTGGATCGCTGGGATGCACGCCTCCGCCCTGGTTCTCAATTCCGCCGGTGCTGCCGTGAGCATCGAGAACGGTGCCCCGTGGCTGCATGGTTCGGTGGAGCTGGCGGAGTGGCCTCCGGACACGCCGGAGCGCTACAAGAGCGCATCCTATGGAGATCGGCGCCAGGAAGTGGTCTTCATTGGACGGAACCTCAAGGAGGGCATAGACTCATAGACCAAATACCCCAAAAACCTCACACATCTATACATTCAAAAGAATTATAACGGACCCCCCCCAAAAGAAGCGAATAACAACATGCTCCTTATTGTGATTTTGTTCATGTGTTTCATGGTCTATTTTCGTTTCTTTTTCTTTTCTCTTCAGATGTAAATCTCAAGGAGGCCGAGATCCGCCAATCGCTGGAGAGCGCCTTGGTCACAGAGGCTGAATTGGAGCTGGGACCCAGCGCCTGGGCCAAGTGGCCCAATCCCTTTCGAGCGAAACCGCGCCCGGTTGGGCGGAAGCGAAAGAAGAGCAAGTTGGGCCCAAAAAGTAAGATGCTCAAGACCCAAGCGAAGGCGTCCACTGCGGAGAAGGTCTCGGAAAGTGGAAACTGAAGGCCTTTGGAACCTGGTCTGCACAGAATTCCTTCGTAGAATGCATTTGGCGAGATTCCTTTGGATGCTGAGAGATGGGCAGATGGTGCGATGGCATCCAGAGTTTTCGTGGATGTGACATGTAGTTTTTGTTTTTGGTTTTGGACCAATGTAGGACTGTGCACGAAGGTGCCAAACCACAATGTGTCTTGTATAGAAGCCAGATGGCTGAGGGGTGTTTGTTCAATTTAACGTCAGCCAGCTGCTTGCGGCGTGTGCCGGTGTGCTGCAGTGAGAAGGAAAGCTAGGGGCGGAGGGACGGACGGTGTAGTGTCGCTCCAATGGTTTGTTCGAACTGAATGCCACAATTGTGACTCTTTCGTGTGGAGTTTTGGACGGAGGGCACAAGAAGTGAGGAAGTGAGATAGGGCACTGTTTGAAGCTCTAAAGGGTCTATTCAAACCGCTGTTGGAGTGGCTTCTTCACGTGAACGTTTGATTGCTCTCACCGTTGGGAACGAGTTGTTGCAGGACAGCTGGTATGGGTAGTGTCTGTCAGATGTGTGAATCTCGTGTTGTGGGCGACATGTGGTTTCGGAACCATTTTGCATCCGCACGCAGTTTGATCAAAGGCTTGACCTGCGGAAGCTGCAGAAGTCCGCGGCTGCCTTAAAGGCCAAGTAGATAGAACCAATTGCATTTGGTGATGGCATGGTACGTGTTGTAGCTTCCTCCATATTTTGTTCTTTTCTCAGCTTCTGATCTTTCCGTTTTGGCCTCAAGCTTGCCGGAGGCCTCGTAACGCGTCCAAGACCTCAGTCCCCCGAAATGGATTTACTCTGAGGCTGGCCAACAAGCTGGCTAAATGCACTGTTGCTGCACTGGCGAAGTGAAAAGGCCTGCATTGCAAGCGAACATTGGACTGAAAGACAGAACTTCGGACCAAAGAACAGGAACAGAACTGGTCTGAGTTGTAAAGCAAAGTGGTTTCCCTTTGCTACGTTTGTCAACGGAATTGATTAGCTTTTTGACACTTTCCAGGTCGATTGGCGAAGCATATTCCATGCGTCTCTTCCAAACTCTTTGTAGGTCGCCGGTGCGTCTCCGGGCCGTCGCGTCGCTGGCATGGCCTACAGCTTGGCGGTGATCGATGTGTTCAAGCGCTTCGACACGGATGGCTCGGGCTCCATCAATCGCGATGAGCTGCGGGGAGTGCTGAGAGCTCTGGGTGGAGGCGCGCGGAAAGAGCAGCGGGGCGAGGGCGGACAGAGCCGCGCGATTTCGTGTAGAACGGATCCCGATGAGTCTGGTTTCGTGGATATCTGGATACTTCCTGTTTCGTGGATATCGTCACTGAGTAGGGGGTTGAAAGGCTTTTACTTGTTTGATTCAAAACACCGTGTATTTGAGGCACAAAACACCGTTGTTGAACAACCGACCGGTACTCAGCCGGAGCGACTACAAGGTACTTGGGACAACAAGGCCGTGGACGAGTTGCTGGCCAAGGCCGACAACAGCGGAGATGAGCAGCTTGGCATCGCAGAGTTTGTTGGCTGGGTCTTTGCAGAGGATGGTCAAAGGACAAAGATTGGAGAGCACAAGAAGGGTGACTTCAAGCTGACGATTTCCAACTCTTCGCACAAAGGCTTAAATGGAGTCTATGTGGTGCAGGATAGAATCAGTGGACGTCGTCCCACCTTCTACTGCTCTAAGCAAAAGAGGACTCTCTACTATGCTGTCTCAAACAAAGCCTGGAAGATCTACTACACGCCCGGCAAGTCCAAGAATACCGCCGCTTATCTCAAGACCACTCGAGCTCCCCATATGACTCAGGACGGTGAGTACTGGGTCTCCTATGTCAACGGGAAGTACAGGAGAGATGATGGAATGAGCTGCACGGTTGCCGCTGAGGAAAGCCCTGAGGAGCAGATAGCTCATGCAGCTGAAAGTGTGTCTGTAGTCTCACCCAGCGTCGTTTGTGAGCTGACCAAGCAGAGCCAGCTTCAGGATGGACGGCCAGTCTATGCAGACGATGACTCCCACGTGTGTGTCTACAATGAGAAGCAGCAGAAATGGCAATTTGGTCTCAAAGATGCAGCTCCGGAGGGATTCTCCAAGGAGACAGCCGTCTTTTCTCCAGATCATTGCCTCTGGGATGGACTCATGGAAGTTGAAGATGCCCGGATTGAACGGGCAGGGGACCCGGATTCCCCCGGATGGGTTGACCCAGATTTCCCACATACGGCTGAGAACATCGGTGAGACGTTCGTCAGGCAATATGGTCACAAAATTGTGTGGCGCAGATTGGCTGATGTCTATCCGAACCGGCCTCTCTATGATGAAGAAGCACCATATGATCTTAGCCAAGGAAGTATTGGCAACTGTGCTCTCATTAGCTGTATCGCTGCTGTGGGTGAATTTGGATCGTACTTGCAAAGCCTCTTCAAGACAAAGGACCCCGCTGATGGGAAGTATGAAATCTGGTTGTACATGACAGAGAAGAGGGCATGGGAGATCTTCCAGATTGATGATTATGTCCCCTGCATCGGAAACACACCCATCTTCTTGAAGGCCAAGCATTCACTTTGGGCTCCACTCTTAGAGAAGGCCTTTGCCAAGTTGTGTGGCTCCTATTGGAACTTGAATGCCAGTTCGAATTCGCATTGGGGTGGCGCAGTGAGGTATATGACCACTCTCACCGGAGGCCAGTTGCATGGCCACTTCCGTCGGCACGATGGACAAACGGTGATCTCCACCAAGCGCACCATGCCGGTCACCGCGGAGTGCGATCCCACGAGCGAAAGTCGAGGAACCGTGGAGTGGGGGAAGTGTCTGTATGAACTGGAGCGGCAGGGGAAGCGGCTGAAGTTCAAGTACCAGGGAACCAAACCTGCGGATGCTCAGGAAGGTTGGATTTCCACCTCAAGGGATGGGAAGGAAATGATCAATATGATCACAGCGGCGGGCTGGACCTATACTCTTTACGAACTTGGTGATGATGAGCGCTGGTACCATTCGGCGAGTGTAAAGAAGAAAATTGTGGAAGAGGTGGAGGGAGTGGAGAAGCCGGAGGAGTTCATGTGGCAGAAGTTCCAGGAATTTGCAGAGAAGAAGTACCTCATTACTGTGGGCATTGGCTATGGTGAGAAGGGCCGAACAGGCCTTCGACCCGATGGCCTCTGCTACATGCACAGCTACTCGGTGCTTCATGCAAAGCAAGTCGGGGACTTCAAGATGATTTGCTGTCGAAATCCCTGGGGCCATGGCGAGTGGTCGGGTGCCTGGTCGGATGAAAGTGAAGAGTGGGAGGCCAATCCAGAAGTGGCCGAAGCTTTGAAGTTGGAGGCAGAGGATGATGGGATTTTTTGGATGGAGTTTAAGGACTTCATCTCCATCTTCAAGGAGATTTGCATCACGGGCATGGAGACGCCGCCCAGCTGATCCAGGAGCCTGGTGAAAAAGGTGCCGGTGGTGATGACGTGCCGGTCAAGGCTTTCAAGAATACCAAATTGTAAAGTTTCAAGGCTTTTAAAGTGTCACCCGCTCTCCAGCTCTCGTTCAGAGCCGTTCGGAGCTGTTCCATTCCGAAGGAATCCCAGGTGTAGGTTCAGCTGCTGAAGAATCGCTCACTCGCTGAGCCTGTTCTGATTCAAAAAGGGATGAAGAAACGCTTTCTCTGGAGCTTTTCTGAAGCTGTGAAGTGAAGATGATGCTGCTGTGTTTCCAGCTGCAGCGCAAAACTGCAGAGATTGCCTCAAAGCCAATCTTCTTCAATTGGAGAGTCCAAAATGATCCACCTCACGTCAGTGAATGTCTGAAGCGCCACTCATTGCTGAACCACCTGCTGCATCCAAACCAGTCACCTGCAGCCACTCTCAAGAAAGGCCTCTCTTACCTCTAAGATCAGGTTGGACTGTTTTCTGACTACAAGATAAGTGGATAAGAATAGTGTATTTTCACTTTTAGTCAAACAAATTAAACACATTTGATGTTATTTATCTACATAGACTTCAGATTATTCGTGAAAATAGACTCAAATATTTTTGGAGCGAATTGGTGCCATGGACTTCTGCTTGAAGGCCGGCAAGTTTTTTGACGTTTCAGCAGCAGTGAAATGCCTTACGTTTTTGTAATGTTTCAATTTGGTGATGTTAACTTTTATATTTGGATTTCATTTGGTTCTTTGAAGAACAGAGACGACCCTTTCCGCGTGTCGGTCGTTTTTCCAGGGAAAACGAGTTGAGGCCGACGTTGGCGACACGTAGACGGCCGCCGGCACACAGCTGGGTCTTGCTGAAGTCTGGCTGATCCCTGAACATATTCTCATGTTTCCAAAAGCAGGTTTCCCCCCGTGTTCCCTGCAGCCCGTTCCAGCTTCCAGCACCTGGCATGTTCGTTGAAGGATCTACGCGGGGAAATCACTTTCTGGCCCCAAGATGTCTGAAGAACTGAATAGCTGATTTCCTATGGGACATTGTCACAGTGATGATGCATTATGTAACGCCTACCTATGTTGGAACAGAGGACACATGTAGGAACTGAAAACATGTTGAGGAACTGGTAGATGGTCGAGCGAAGCTTTAGCGTGGTGACGCTCCAGTGAGACCCACATGAACTGTTCATGGGCCAAGTCCTAGCTGGACAGGATGGAACTGGTCCTGAATGAGCAGAGTCGTGGATATCAGTTCATCCGGTGAGGCGCTTCGTGGGGCACATGATGGCCTCTTCAGGCCATCAGCTTTTAATTTAAGGGAGGCAACCGTGGGAGGGGAGCTCAACCAGAAATTGAAATGGGTTCTGTATTTCTTCCTCCAAACAGATCCAATCCCAGTCCTGAAAGACGGAGGAAGGAGAAAACCGAAAGTGTCCTGAGGTGCAGAACAAGTTGATTTTGATCCAATCGAACTATTTGCCCCTAGCTACGCAGCTGGGCCATATGCCATATGAAAGGGCATGTGACTTCTCCACAGATCGTCGCGCATGAATCTCCCGGTCATTGCAAGCTGCACAAACTGCCACGAGCTCGGACCCCTGCCACCCACGTGTCGCACGGCGGACCGCTCTCACGGCCGTTCACGAGCTCGGACCCCCTCCCCAGGTGCGACCGGAGCGAAGTGCAAGGTGAGGACGTCTGGATTTCGTATCCAGAGCGAATCAAAGTGTAGGGAGTGCAGGGAAGCTGTATCGCCGGAGTCGGGAGTCGGCTTGAGTCGGTTGGACATGCTTATGAGACCCTCCGAGTGTTTGACCATCAAAGCGGCGGTTTAGACCATGTGGCCGGAGCTCGTCCGAAAGGCTCGAAAGGTCTCTGCATTTTCAGGCCAAAGCTTTGGGGTTCTTCCTGAAGATGTTGCAGGAGTACTGTAAAACGGTACCAACTCGTGGGAGGCCTCAAACCACGGTAAAACGCGTTTCTTGTGTAACCCGAAATGAAGCATGGCCGGAGGCAGATGAGTAGATCACCATCCTCCACCAGGAGTCCTTGAGTCCTTCAGTGCTCAGGCTGGTAATTAGGGGTCCAGGAGGGAGTTCCACAAGAATTCCCAGTCCCTGTGCTCTACGGTTCTTTTTGTGCCTGACGTCGGTTCTCCACTGGTGTTCAAAGGATTTCCCCGTAAGTGAGAGATTAACCCTCCAACTGGCCGATGATTGTTCAAGGGCCAACTGTACAGTCTTCTTAAAGGCATTCCCTCAACTCTGGCCGCATTTTTTGCAAGTTACTTCATCCGCGAAGGGCTCTGTGGAGTTGTCATGCTCACACGTGGATTGGAGCACTAAATCGCTAGTTTTCGAGTAAGTTTGAAGCGGGTGGGGGTCCGAGCGGAAGCATGTGTGGATCCTTCTTCCAATACCGAAAGTCAAAGCTTCTCCAATACGGTCGGTTGTATTTGTTCGAATCTCATTGGCTCAGTTCGTGCATGCTGCGAAGCCTGAGCAGTTCACTTTGGTGTTCACCTGCAGGGTGAACTGCATGTCGATTCTCAACCGTGATACTTCTCCACAACACGCCTCCATGCTGGCAGACAAGTTGGAAACGGTTTTGGGTGAGATGAGAGATATGCAACGTGAAGCCCTGCAAGTTCAACGTGAAGTGCGAGACAATACGGAAGGTGGATCCCCGCACTTGTTCAGTGACAAGGATGTCAACGTGCGGGTCTGCATTCATCAGATCTTTGTCGTATTGCTTAATGTCAGACTTTTTCTTGACCAGAGTGCTGTTGAGCCAGAATGAGCTGGTCGACCTTGAAATAAGATGTTATCATCATATCGTATCATATCATTCACTTCTTTGCTTCAGCCTCCCCCAGCTGGCACGCGTCTCCAGCTGGCCCCTTCTCACCTGCTTGAGACCAGGATCCTGGACGTGAACCTGCACCAGGAGACCTTCACCGTGGAGTTCGACGTGCATTTCCGCTGGACGGATCCACGGCTGAGGCGGGACACTGGCTCCGCGACGCGTTTCCCAAGCCACCAGTGGGGGTAACTGGGACACTCTGAGTTGCAGTGGTTTTAAAACACAAGCAACACAAGCCAGACAGAGGAAGACACTAAGCTGCCTGTCAACCTGCTTGCCGGATGCGGCTTTGAAGTCGATCTTGTGAAGGCACGTAGGAGTTGCCCGTCTTGGATGGCTGTCAACCAAACAGCAACCACTTTTTGTGTGTGCAACAGATCTCCTTCAACATCGATGTCTTTCCTCCCCACCACGCCAGAGTTTGCTGTGGAGTTGCCGGACACGGCAATCATTTCATCTTCTCATCTTCTGTTCTGCGCAGTCGAATTGTTTGGGGACCAGCGGTAGCTCTGTAGCCATCAGTGGTACCAGCAGTAGTACTACCACAACAATCCGCCAACAAAGAAGCTTTTAATCATCGGCTCACCAAGGGTCAGAAGAACATAAAGCAAGGCCCAATCAACCTCTTGCTATAACTTGTGTGATCTTTGTATTGCCCGCAGATGCAGCAAGTTGGACATCATATTTCATGAAAAGGTCGCGAGGGAAGGCTGTCATCAGATGTTCTTTTTAGTGTCATCAGTTCCTTGAGCTTGCAGGAAATACAAGACCAGAGTGTGGATGCCAAGAGGCAGCAGCATGCCAGGGTTGCAGCAGAAGTGCAATCCGAACACTTGCAATTGTCCAAAAGAAACTGGATGCTGTCAGCTGCCCTTCGTGGAGGGTTTCTACCGAAGGGTGAAAGCTCAGCACTACATCAAGCCCGTGGTGGATGGTGTTGAAATGAAGGTTTCTTGAGTGCACGAGACAATGAGAGCCGAGAGCAGGGAAATGAGAGGGAGGGACAGGGATGGAGGGAGCAGTCGTGAGTGAAACTGCTGCCGAGTTATTTTTTTCTTGGCTGCAATGCAAGGAAACACTCATCACGGAGAGCTACGTCCATAAAGAAGAGCCGAATTTGAAGAAATTTGGAGAGATCAAGGTGAGCTACACGAAGCTCATGGGTGAGGTGCACGTTTTGCTTGAGGACTGGCACCTCAACGATGGCGATAAAGGCTTCTTGTTTTTGAATCGGATGTTTCTTTTACACGTGAAAGTCAGAATGAAGTCCCATGAACTCCCGTCTGTCGAGCGCCAGTCCGAGGCGAAGTGATGCTCTATCGCAAGATGATCGCTACCTTTAAGGAGAATATGGAGCTGCGACGTTTCCCTTTCGATCGGCAGCTCTTGCAGTTCTACATTACTGCCCGGGTGCCAGCTCCACACGTGAAGATGGTGGTGGACGCAGCCGAACCCAGCACATGCTTCTCAATTTCAAAAGCTGTTCAATGGTCGAGGGGCTGTTAGATGCTTTGAAGCGTTCTGTCACGATTGGTCGTCTTCGTTGCGTTCTGTCTCGTTTGGTTTAGCTGGGCAGGCTGTTTTCAGGCCTCAGCCTGATTATCTGTGTTGAACATTTTGACCTCAGACCGTTCGTGAGGCTATGTGGCGGACTTATCAGAGTTCAAGGTGGATCAGACAGAGCAGAAGGAATGGACAGCCACAGAGAAGGAAACGAACGGGTCCAAAGCGGGCCGGACCTATTCCCAAATCCATGTCATGATCCATGCGGAGCGAAAGCCTCAAAAATATATGGTTAACATTGTCTTTCTGGTCTACTTGTTGGTCTTAGCGTCCTTCAGCTGCTTCATCTTGGGCATGAAAGATTCAGGCGGGCCAAATGCAGGACGTCATGCCAAAGCAGTCTTGATGCTGAGCGCAGATGTACAGTCCCAATGATAGACTTAAAGAAATTGCTTGTGGGAGAACCACTTAGAGTGCTGGACCACACATCTTCGAGGAATCGATTGTGATGGTGTTTTCATGTAAGCTGGTGCAGAAAGATCAAAAGGCACAATCAGTTAGCAGTCTGAGGCAGCCTTATGCCTTTTTTTGCATGTAGAAGTGCACTGACACACACACACACACAGATGACAAGAAACTATCGCCATTTTCCTGTCACAACTGTCACTCATGACACCTGAATCTTGCAGCCAGGTGATCGGACGCAGATCATCATTGCATTCGTGCTTGCGATCTTGGCCACTAAGTACCTCATAAATGACAAGCTTCCTTCCAAGTCCTATGAATCCATGCTCGACCTTTACCTCCTTGTGGCTTATGTCTTCCTGCTCCTTCCCGCCATGGAGCTCGAGGCGGTCGCTATTTGGAATTGGTTCCATTGGCATCATCACCTGGATATCCAAGAGCATTTGCCTGATGACTTAGCAAGTCACACAGAAGGTTCGGACTCCAACTTCGCCATGTGGTTGTTCGTGATCTGGAACAGCGTGCATTGGCTCCTGATCCTTCCTCTCTACCTTGTGTATTGCTCGACAGCAGATTGCCTGCGGCCAAGTTGGGACACTGTGAGAGAAAACCAGGGGTCTCGGAAGCACCGCTGTTGTTTCACGAGCTGCGGCTGTTGCGAAGATGATCACGATACGATGTGCTGGCGCTTTGGCTTGGAGCATGCTGATGCTTTTTGAGTCCTATTTTTGTCACATGCTCGGACCATTTTCTTTTGCCTTTTGCTTCTACAGTCCCGACTCTTGTGAATCCACACTTCAGTCACTTCGGTCATGTTTGTAGCTTCAAGGTGCTCTCCTTATGAGCTGGTGCGGGAGCATGACGCCGATGATGACACTGATGACTTGGGGTCGTCATCCAGTGAGCAGTGCCTGGACTGGCATGAAAGATTTACTCCTTTTCGTTTGTGGCTGAGGTGAATCTTTCTCTGTCTCTCTCTCTCTCTCTAATTGTTTTTTGTATAAGACCGTGAATTTGACCTATGCATTTGTATATCGCACATCAGAATGAAGTCACGAAGTAAGATGCTGAAGACCCAACTAGATCAGTGGAAAAAGACCGGCAGAAACATGACTTGAAGCTCTGGATTGTTTTGACCACTGGCAGATTCGGTTTTGATCCTTCTTGGCCAAGGTGAGAGCCAAACCAACTCTGGAGCCTCGACAGCAACAGGGGGAGAGTGCAGTGTTGAACAAGAGGAGGAGGTTGCTGGACACCCAAATGTACGGTGTCAACACTCAACACCTGCACCAGGAATCCATCCCCAAGCCGTAGTCGCTTGCGGTGTCTCAGGAGTATTTCGACATCACCACACGAAGAAACTGCTAGGAACGCGGTTGATCATGCTTATCATCTCGATTGCCTTCTACGCCACAGGTCCAGTGCCAATGTGAATGTGCGACGAACAGTTTTGGGCATCCGAGTTTTTGACTGAAAATACAAATTAATGGGATCCTTCAGTGGAGGAGTATCCTGTATTGAGTCGCACATTCACAAGTGCCCAGATCCGGAGTTTTGCGCCTCCTTGAGTGAGACTGATCCGGTGCTTTGCACGGATGTTCCGCAGCGATACGCAGCGGAGGAATTGCACTTGGGCGTGCCCAAGTTTTTCAACACCGAGGTAGTGGGTCTCCACTTAGTTCATGAAACGGCTTTAGGTGGAGTGACTTTGGCAGCACACACACATGAAATTCCACTTGCTTGTTTGAGGTTTGACCCGTTGATCTTTAGATTCACTATGCAAAGTGTACAATTTTCCGGGCATCAGGGCCGAAATTGCCCTGGTTTGCCCGGATCAGCGCAGGCACCTCCAAAGTTTGTTCCCAAAAGTTTTGGAGTTGTGGGATCTACTCGGTTCTGGTGGTGCCTGGGCAGCTTAGTCCAAGGATGGTGCTTGAGCAGCTTGGGCTTAGTTGATTGACTCGGTTGTTGGAATTGACATCAACGATTTGCAAGGCCATGCTGAGCACAACGCTCCCTTGGATGAAGTATTTTGCTGCTGGGCTTTGCAGAGCAAAGTCCAACAACATCAATGGATCGCCTAAGTAGCACGTTTGCGTGCGCCAGCTCCATGTGACACTGGAGAGCTTCGGAATCCCAGGCGTCGCGGGAAAACCACGTGGCCCGTTACTGGTCGTTCGCTGCACCGCGATCGGTTCTTAGCGCATCGACGGGACACCTATGACACCTGCGCAAGGAAGGTATGCCATGAAACTCCTCAAATTCCTTTCGTGGACACGTATTTTTTGGGGAATTATTTCTGACGCATTTTCTTCCCCCAACCGCAGGTGGCGAAGCAAGACTTGACGGCCTGGGAGCTCAAATCGAAGATTTGTGGCTTCTGTGGCAGCTCAGAAGCTTCCTCGAACTCCCAAAAGGCAAGCATTTGATTGGCTAGTTAGTGAGCTTTCAGGGGTTTTCAGGCCAAACGCAATCAATAAGGTACGACGTCCAACGCATCATTAAACAAATGATTTGGGGAAGGTTTAGGCTGAAAAATGAGATGCGCCGTCCACTTGTGGCGCTTGAGTTTGATTTTTATCTTCTTCAGGCCAGATGTTGAAGTCAGAACTGGCATCAAACGAGGGCAAGAGCATCCCTTTTTGCTACAACTTCCAGGCTACTGGATGCTTTCTGGGCGTCACTTAGGCACTTGGTACACGGCAACCCAATCAAAGAACCACCTCTCATGGCCCTGGTAGCGACACTCAGCGCTGCAGCACCTCTTTCAGGCGTCCCGCGACACTCAGCCTGGAGAGGACAGATGTTAGAGAGCTTTCGACAGAACTCGCCGGACGTGTCTTGGATTGATTGGGGGCAGGGTGTTACTGCAGTGGTTCGGTCGTGAGGTTTGAATCACGCCAGGCTCGTTGGCTCCTTTTCTTTGCACTTATTTTCTTGTTCCGCTTTCCGCCTCTTGTGCATGGCCCAGAAAGAGGGTGACTCTCAGTGCAGAGTGCACCAAGTCCATTCAGGACGTGATGCCTTCGACCTCTCGGCTTCCGAGGTTCCGACGCTTTGGGGATGTTCCAAGTGGAGAGAGTTCCCTTTTAGAAAGGAACCAAACGGAACACCTTGGATGACCAAGTCGGCATAGATGTGGAGGGAATTGGCCACAATTGTTTTTGACCGCTTGCCATCCGTTCTTGCTTGGGAGGGTGGAGCTTTGGGAAACTGCACACAGATGTTGATCCCAAAGACGGGCCCGTCAATTTGCAACCATCGCAAAAACCCGTCGACGCCGTCAGATAGATGGTGTGAAGCTGTTGGGATTCAGTGTTGGCCTGAAGAACCACGACAGGTGGAAGACCCGCACCACTCAATGCCGACCCCCAGCTGCGGGAGTGGCGATGCGATGAACAGGAGGTTCGGTGCGGTGAATGATGTATCCTCTGTCTACTCGACCGAAAGGTCTATATAGATCTTTCCAAGATTCCCAAAGCCGCGGATCAGAGACTGAAATGTATTTACAATATTTTATAACTAATTCGCTCAAAGGTGTTCGAATCTGTTTGGCAGCAGGTGAAGGCTTTGGGTGATGGTCTGGTCTTGTGTTCGTTCTGGTCGTGTGCACTTTCGAACTCTTCCAACAGCCCAAGGCTGAGCTGAACGCGTCAGGACATCGGCTTGTGACGAGAAGGCTCCTCTCTTAGAGATGATGGTGAACCCCATATGCGATTTCCACGCCTCCGCAAAGAGAGGCGGCCTGGGATGGTGATCCGCAAGCTAGATGGCCAAGGTTTCAAAGGTCCTGCCTGAGAGAAGTTTGATGAGTGTGTCGGGTTGGATGGATTTTACGACGTGTTTAGCACAGACAAGAACCTCCGGTCCTATCTAAGCACTGTACATGGGGAGGGAGTCCCAAGTGCTTGTTCGAGCGCTGCTCACGGAGACCGCGGTCGCAGACGTGTCGGCCTTGCGGTCGGTCGCCGTGCGAATCCAATCCGGTCGGTGCGGTCAGTCGACCGCTGGGGCCCACAGGGAGCCACAGTCAAGTGCGGCCCATGTGTTGCCAACGATCTCTGAAGGTCGGGTGTTCAAGAAATACCTTGAGACAACTCGTGTTGAATCTCTTGAGACAACTTGTCGTTTTTTGGACGTCAGGTAAAGCGGCACAAGCGATAGAGGGAGGCAGGGATGCTCAGGAACTCCAGCCTTTGATACTCCAGGGGGTGTTTTGGGCAAAGTCATCCAATCCTTTCGTGGATCTTGATGTTTCAGATGTTTGTTCAGAGTTTGACCTGTACAGAGTTTGGTTGCGCAACCCCAAAGATCCAGATACCATTCAACTTCACCTTCCACATTCACCAGCATCCACTACTGTTCTTTACACCTCTCATTTCACTATATTTGCTTGAAGACAAGGTGGCCAAAGTACCCGCCAACGTGTTTTCATGCCATATGTAAGTATGTTATAATACCTGAGGTTCTCACAAGTCCTAGCTTCAACTTAGGATGCTCATGGGGTCTCGCTGGGGCGAGAAGAAATCATCATATTGTTTGGGTTTTGAGGTGGAGATCTGTCATATCTTCCGCCTCACAAACAGCTGGACCTGTCTAAATACACCCTCCATTTGTAGCTGCAGCATCTGGTGCCAACCATTTGCTGGCATTGTTTTGTTGATGGACAATTTTAAGTTCGATGCTGCACGGCTTCCTCATGGAAGACGAAGAAAAGAACCTCAATACGGAACACTCCAAGGACAACATTCTGCAGACTCAAATTCATAGAAGGGGAATATCACTCAGTCCAGAACATGAAATATTTGGTTTGTTTCACATCATTTGGTCAATATGAAGCAATGGCAGCCCCTTCAGTAAGACCCTGAATTCAGCCCACGCTCATGTTGTCAGGATCTTGTTGATGCCATGCGCCATGCGCCCGGGCAGCTCAGTCGAGCTTCAGAACCTTTGGGTCATAGCTCGATGCCCTCGATGGCCATTTGAATCGGTGTGGTCTGCTCAATCCTGTTCGACCTGCGTGGGTCCGGGATTCAGCTCGTTGACTTTGTGTGACTTTGTCCTTGGCAACACGCCTTCACTTCTTTTCATACCGTTGGGGAACCACACACCTTGTCGATATTCTTTTGCAGGCTTTGAGAAGCAAGCAGGATTTTACAGACTTAATTACCGGCAAGGATGTGCCACTCCAAAGGGCGCGGGTCCACTCATGCGGCCGAGGCTTGCCAATACGAGCAGCGGCTGTGACAGCAGAAAAAATATTTTGTGAGCCTGGGAAGACGGTCTATTTTTCAAAGGGCAGATCATGCACCATCTCATCTCCAATATTTGCCTGGCCAGTATTCCAACTAAATGTTGAGTCCAACTAACTTTTGATGGCAGATGGTTAGTGAAGATTTTATGACTTGAACGTTTCAATTCTTCCAGGAAATTGTTTGTTGTGGAGGTTCTTTGGGCCGGCTTTCCACATGTGGCAAGATGCATTCCGCTGTTTTTTTGGGCCCTAAGAGGACGGACGTTTGAAGAGCTAGCCCCGACTCCTTGGTAGCCACCGTGGCAGCTTGCAGGAGCAGTTGTTGTGGAGAGTCTTGCAATGTAGTGTGAAATGGAACATGTTGACCTGGCAGAATCCTCACTCCATGCGGTTGCCCCTTCAATCCGTCCAGCAGGTTCGACTGTCACACAGGCATGAACGACCGCCTGTGGCTCAAGATGCAGGCTCAAAAGGACGCGCAGCTTTTGAAGCCTTTTCACACGTGGGTGTCACGACTTTTCATATTGGCACCGGAGCTTAGCACTCCCCAGGGACCCTTCGGCAGACCCACTGTTTTCCGTTTGGGGGCACCTTCCTTTTTAGCCTTTGCGTCGGGGCGTGATGGCGGCGCTCGAATGCCTTCGATGGCATCGGTTCCAGGAGGCTGAGAACCTCATGAGTGGGACAGAAGGCAAAGGTGTTCCAAAGTTCGATGGATCACCAGCTGCCTTGCAGGAGTATGCCTTTAGAGTTCGCCTTCGAGCTGCTCGCGATGCGGCTTTGGACCCGGCAGAGCTCAAGAAGCAAGGACCATTGGGATTGCGCCTAGTTGATGGCTTGACAGGTGCAGCCATCCAAGTGGTCCGAGAGATCGAGCTCACGAAGTTGGCTGGTGAAAATGGTCATGAAGTCTTGCTTCAACACCTCTACCAGGCCTTTCGACCACGACGACAACAAGAAGCTCGTGAACTCTATGCCGCAGGAGCTCAAGTCCATGGCCCCTTGAGCAGGCAATACGGAGAGCCGATGACCTCCTATCTCCTCAGGAGGCGGACCTGGTATAAGATGCTTTGTGATCTTGATGACAAGCTCGCCTTGCCAGAGGCCATCCTCTCGGAGCAGGTCCTAATGTCGGCTGGCATCTCAGCGGATCACCAGCTGCTGATCCGCACGGCTCTTGGAGGCGACATGACGGTTACCAAGGTGTGCAATGAACTCATTGCTCAACATCCTCACGTTCATGAAGGAGAAGTTCGCCACCGTCATGAGCAAGAGCGCTACTCCAGCAAGTTCGGCCGTGGAAAAGGAAAGTCCCGATCCTACCACACATGGTCGACGCCCTTCCAGCAGCAGAGCTATGTGGCTGAAGAAGCTTGGGATGAAGGATCCCAATCCCTTGGTGGCTTTGAAGAGTATGACCAGCCCTCAGCATCATTCTACACTGGTGCAGCCGAGGACTGGGAGTTCGAATCCACAGCTGAGGAGGCCGACTTCGCCTTTGAGTCCTATGCGGCCTTGGTTGAAGAAGGTTTGGATGAGAGCAACTCAGAAGCTGTGGACTATGCCATCGAGGTGATCCAGCTTGAAGCAGAAGCCATGTTCCTTCACAACAAGGCCCAGAGTCAGGGGCACACAGGCTTCTCCGGTGGCAAGAGCAATCGCCATTGGAACAAGGGCAAGGGCAAGAGCTCCAACAACCTTGAGCGTCGAAGAGCGCTTGAAGAGTTGAAGAAGAAGACCACATGCCGTCGCTGTGGCCAGATGGGTCATTGGAGCACTGACTATGTCTGCCCGAAGCATCCTGGAAGCAAGGCCGGCAAAGGTGGCAAGTCACCCACTGCTATGACCGGCACTACGACAGCCACGACAGCTACTGGAGGCAAGAAAGGCTCGAAGGGAGCCAAACCACGTGTCGTGTACTTCACCGTTGCTGAGTATGAGGACCCGGAGATTGACTTGGAGGCCCAGGCTTCTTTCATGGCCGTGAACGAGTTTGGCAGTGTTCCACCTCCGTCATCTCTGCACTCAGGTGTTCTCCATGGAACCTCAACCGAGCTCACAGCGGATCAGATGCTGGATCTCGCAATCCAGCAGGCACGTGTGCAGCAGCAGCAACAGGCCCAACGTTTGACTGACGGCCACAATCAGCCTATCCCAGAAGATGTTGACTGGGAGGTCCAAGAGCTCGCATTGCAAGGCCAAGGAGATGCTGCTTCCGTGGTCAGCACTTCATCATGGTCTATGCCTTCGGTGTCGGGCTTAGCACCCTCAGCGCCGAGTATGTCATCTTTTGTGGGTATGACCGTGCCAGCAAGTATGACTGGATTGCCAAGTATGACTTCCCCTTCAGGCTATGAGTATCATCTTCCGCTACCATTTGCAGAGCAACCTGATCCTCAGCCTGGAAGTCAGCGAGCACGGACCGCTGCAATGCTGCGAGATGGAGATCCTGACCAGATGAGCAGGTTCACTATGAACCCTCCTGCTCAAGAGACGAGTTTGAAACAGAGATCTTGCCATCATCCCAATCGCACCAAGGCTGGCTCCAATGCCTACCAGAGCATCATCCGATGCAAGGACTGCGGCTACATCCTACACCTCGAGAAGAAGAATGCTGCCAAGAGCATGGAAACAAAAGAAATGACTTCTTGCACTCATGCTCGCAAGAACTACCAAGGCACCACAGCCACGACTTGGCGCTGGCGATGCATGGATTGCGGAGAGACCGCAACTGGATTCAAGAATCCTGGTGAGACTGGTGCCAAGGCAGCTGACATTGCACCTCTTCGAGTTGGAGCTGTCGCAGATTGGTATTTGGATGATCCACCATCCAAGGTGCTTGAGTTGATGACCTTGACCATCAGCATCCAGAGGCAGACTCACAATGTGGTCACGGGGGACGACTTGGACGTGATCTACCGTCGCTGCAAGGACACGATCTATGGAGCACCAACAGTCCCGAGGACTTCAACGGCAGCGGCATCACCTCATGTTCTGTCCACGCCACCGAGGCCTATGTCAGCTCAGGAGTTCCACACTCCGAACACCAGAGGATCTGCCAGTTCGGCACCTTCGACACCGGGTGATCCGACTTTGGGACCACGCGATGTTTTGGTTCAAGATATCGAAGCATGGGATGCTGAGAAAATGACGACTGGTCAGCGCAAAGGCAAGACCTTCCGCATGATCGCTGAGACGGAACACTCCTATGGCACCTACCTGCTTGGCCAAGTCAAAGCCAACAAGATCAAGAACCCGCAACTCCTTGAGTATGTCAGGTACATCAAGGTGAGAGGTCAAGCGGCCAAGATGGCACTCCATGGCCATGCCTCAGGAGAAGACAAGCTCCTCTGCATCCTTGACACTGGATGCAATAGCACTTGCCACGGTGCTGGATGGATTAAGGACTACATGCGGCTGACTGGACAGCACTTTGAGCTGTTGCCTCATGAAGGTCGAGTCCGTGGAGTTGGAGGCAATGTGCAAGTGGTTGGACTTCGTCGCATTCCTGTCCTCTTTGCACTCAAGAACGGAGACATTGCTTCTGGCACCATCACATCCACTGAGCTTTCTGGAAGTGAAGCACCTCTTTTGCTCAGCACCCGAGCTCAGAAGGCACTTGGCTTGGTGATTGACACCGAGGAGCACACCGTCTACAGCAAGCGCATGAATCAGTATCTGGAGTTGGTTGACCGTGATGGCCTTCCTGCGATTCGTCTCATTCCCTCCACAGAAGATGAGACAGACATTGCACTCCAGGCAGAGATTTCCTCAGCCCAAGAAGAAGACAGTGTGGACATGAGCTCAAACGCCACTGACGCCACTTCGCCTAGCAGCACGTCATCATTGTCGAGCCCTATGACGTCCAACTGCACTTCGTCTCAGAAGAGCGCTTCGATGGACACCTCAAGCCAGGAGAGCCGACTTGACAAGTCAGCGATTGAAGAGGAGGACACGCTGAGCTATGTCAACCTGGCTGAGTCACCTCGAAAAGTCATGACTCGAGGACAGCGAAAGATGATGACTGAATCCACGGAAGCTGTGCACAAGGAAGACCTTGCACTATGGGGCACGCTTCGTCATCATCAAGGTCTACGGCGACCTGGAAGACTCTTACCATCTGGATGTCGATGTTTCCTGATGGAGCTGTTTGCTGGAGCGGCCATTTTGACCACCATGGCTGCAGCTTGGGGCCTTCCTGTTGGACGACCCATCGATGTCTGCTATGACCCTGGTCATGATCTGCTGAAGCCCTCCAATCGTCAGGTGATTGGTGACTACATCGACCACATGGATCCCTTCATCCTGATCGCAGGGCCAAAGTGTGGACCTTGGTCACCCTGGCAGAACATCAATGCCAGCAAGAGTCAGGAGCTCGAGAACTATGTGATGGAAGAGCGACAGAGATGGTATCCAGTGTTCAGGTGGCTCATTAACATCTTCAAGTCTCGCTTGAGAAAAGGGAGGCACGTGATGATGGAACATCCCTGGACCAGTGCAGCTTGGGGAATCAAGTGTCTCGAAGATTTTCTAGCTTCGAACCCTTTCCATGAGGAGACCAACGAGCCCGTTGAGGTAGTGAAGATAGATCAATGTCAGTATGGACTTCGTGATGTTCAGAATGGACTACCTCACAAGAAGAGCACTGGGCTGATGCTTTCATCGCACTTCATGAAGAAGAGGCTCAACAAGCAATGCGATGGATCTCATGAGCATCAGCAGTTGGAAGGCAGCAATCGCACACGCCTCGCACAACAATGGCCAGAAGAGCTTTGTCATGCCATTTTGTCCGGCGCCTATGAAGAGTTGCTCTATGGAACACTTCATCAAGCCTTTCCTGTGGAGGAGGTCTTTGAGAGACACGAAGAGATGGGCGACATGGACGGCATTCATTCAGAACAAGACCTGGCACCTTTGGTCAAGAAGCGCAGAATCGATGAACCCGAACTTCAACGTGAAGAAATGCTTTTGGAGCAATCAGCGCATGAGACCAAAGAGGACCGCCTGGTGATGGAACAAGAAGAGAAGAGGCGGCGAGGCTGGCTCACCCTTCCAAGAGAAAAGCGGTTAGCTGTTCGACGTCTTCACACCATGACTGGTCACTGCTCAAATGCTGCTTTGATGAGAATGCTGGTGGCATCTACAGCAGACAAAGATGTCATTGATGCAGTGAAGTTCTTTCAATGTCAGGTGTGCAAGGAGACGGAGAAAGATCAGCATCCGCGTGTGACGAAGGAGACAAGGCCATCTTCGCAGATGCACTTCAACTATGAGCTTTCGGCGGATGTCTTTGAGATCCATGACAGTGAGCATCACCGCCACTCCATCCTGTCATTGGTGGATCTGGCCACACACTTCCATGTGGCAGTTCGTGTTGCAGGAGGAGGAACACCCAGCTCGAAGGCATGTGCTGATGCCTTGAACGTCTCCTGGATTGCATGGGCTGGAGCACCCACCTTCTTTGTGGCAGATCAAGGAGTCCACAATAGAGGAAAAGTGGCACATCTCCTTACCGTGATGGGCACTACCATCCGGCAGACTGGAGCTCGAGCACCTCATCAACTTGGAGTTGGAGAACGTCATGGAGGATTGCTCAAGGAGATTATGAAACGTGCCATCCATGAAAGACAGATCAAAGGAGCTGAAGACATTGCAGCTCTGTGCTCAGAATCGGCAAGAGTGAAGAATCTCTTCATCAACCAGCACGGCTACTCACCGTCTCAATGGGTGATGGGCTATCAACCTCAGGACATCACTTCCCTGAACAACAACGACTTGGAGCAGAGTCTTGGCCTACACCAGAGCTTGCTGGATGCCGAAGAGGGAGCACAAGATTCCTTTGCAAAGCAACTGCTGATTCGTCAATGGGCAAAGGAAGCTTTCATCAAGCTTGACATCTCTCAACGAGTGCGCAAAGCCATGCTCCGGAAGAGCATTCCTATGAGGGGCCCATACCGCTGTGGAGATTTGGTTTCTTTCAGCAAGAAAGGCAAATGGTATGGACCTGCCAGAGTTCTCGCTCACGAAGGAAAATCCTCACTCTGGCTGTTGCACTCAGGTGTCGCCATTTTGGTGGCAGAGACCTCATGCAGGCCGGCAACTACAGCAGAAGTCTTGAAGCGACATGCTCTTGAACTGCGGCCTGAGAGGAAAAGGAAAAGACAGATCCTCACCGACTGGCAAGAAGATGATGAATTACCTTTTGCGGACGACTACATCGAGGACAACAACTTCCGCGGAGGGCCAGGAGGATCGAGTGAGCAAGTCCCATTCGTGGACTTCCAAGAGGTGAATGCAGGACAAGGCGAGACGGGAGTGACTGCTACCCCCGGAGATGCTGAAATGAATGAAGGAACAACTTCATCGACGTTTCCATCGTTGCCTCAACATGTTGAACAACCTCACCAAGCACCTATCCAGAGTCCACCTGGACTCGAGATGGCAACTTCTATGGAAGATGGTGTTGAGACACCAGTTGAAACAATGACTAGGGTTTCAACAATGAGCAGTCAACCGGAAGCAGAGATTACTCCGGCACCAAGCATCTCTACTCATCCAACATCAGGTGCAGCACCTTCCAACATCATCAATGAGCAGGTGACCCCTTTGACACAGTCCCTGCGACAGAGCCCTGATCGTTTGGATGGAATTTTCCGTCGACGTGAGCCTTCAGCCTCTGACAGCTTTCTTGCGAACAAGACCGAGCGCAAGTACAAGAAGAAGACACAAAAGGTCGGAGCAGGCCGTGAGCTGAATTTTTCCAAAGAGACTCCCGAGATGCAGAAGAAGCTTTTGGCCACTCGGGAGAAAGAATGGCACAACTGGAAGTTCTACAGCGATGGCAAGCTGGTCCCAGAAGAGGAAGTGGTGCACATGGTCGCTCAGAACCCGAAGTTGAAGATCATTCCAACTCGATGGGTGGACGTCAACAAGAGCGAGATTGGAGAAGAAGAAAAGCTGAAGTCAAGACTGGTGGTGCGAGGTGACCTTGAAGATAGCAGTTTGATGCGCTGCGACTCGCCCACGTGCAGCCAGACCATGATCTCACTGGTGCTCACCTTGGCAGCTTGCCGAGATACAACCTTGTGGTCTGGTGACATCTCCGCTGCCTTTCTGCAGGGCAGCAAGTTGGATCGTGTTTTGATTTTGAGTCTTCCCAAAGATGGAGTTCCAGGAGTTGCACCCAACATGTACTACATCGTTTCCTCCACCGTCTATGGCACGAAGGATGCACCTCGTGGTTGGTGGAAGAACCTGGACAGCACTTTGAAGAAGAAAGGATTCCATCCAGTTCCCTATGAGCCAGGAGCCTACACTTTGTTGGATGGGCAATCTGGACTGGCAGGTCTGTTGGTCACTCACGTTGACGACCTGCTATGGACTGGAGGACAGGTCATTGAAGATCTGATGAAAGATGTGTGCAGCCACTACAACTTTGGCAAGGTTGAGAAAGATGAGTTTCGCTACTGCGGTCGCAACATCTCCAGGACTGCTGAGCACATCCAAGTCAAGTGCGACAACTTGATTGACCGCGTGCGGCCAATTTGGCTGACCCATGAGCAGAAGCGTCATGAAGCTCAACCAGTACCTGAAGCAGTTCGTGGGCAGCTCAGGAGCATCATCGGCAGCTTGGCATGGTTGGCTCGTGTTTGCAGGCCAGATTTGGCCTATGCAGTGTGCCGCATGCAGATGAGCGTGCACTCGGCCACCTTTGGTGATGTGAAGTATGCCAACTCCATTGTGGCATTGGCCCAGAGGACCAAGAGCTTTGGCCTGAACTACCCCATCAAGGCCTTTGAGTTTGAGAAGGCTATGATTTTGGCAATTCAAGATGCCAGTCATGCAGCTGACTTTGAAGCTAGCTCGTCAGGAGCAAAGATGGGACACAGAAGTCAAAGCGGCCGACTCCTTTGCCTCGCGAGCCCGGACTTCCACAAGTCCAAGAAAGGACAGCTGGCGCTGATCGAGTGGCACTCAACGGTGCTGAAGAGGGTTTGCAGGTCGACACTGCAAGCTGAAGCCTTAAGCCTCCTAGCTGGAAGCGAAGAAGCCGATCACTTGAGGTTCGTGCTATATGGTCTTCTACACCCTCATTGCACTGTCCCTCGATGGCAAGTTCGTGCGATGGACTCAGTGCTGGTGGAGTGGGTGACGGACTGCAGGTCGCTCCACGACCATGGAAACCAGGCTGGCCTTCACATTGTCAGCGACAAGCGATTGGCCATCGACATGTGCGGCTTGCGCCAAAGCCTTTGGAGACTTCCAGAAGAGGAAGTTGGAGATCCTTTGGCCACTGACCGGCTTCCAGAGGCCGGAACGACAAAGCTCACCTGGACCTCGACCGACAAGATGCTCGCGGACCCTTTAACAAAAGGGATGAAGCATGACGGCCTAAAGAGGCTGATGGATGGCTTTGAAGTCGACATGTCACCGACTCTGGATGGATTGAGGGCCAAGAAAGAATATGAGTGTGAAATGGAACATGTTGACCTGGCAGAATCCTCACTCCATGCGGTTGCCCCTTCAATCCGTCCAGCAGGTTCGACTGTCACACAGGCATGAACGACCGCCTGTGGCTCAAGATGCAGGCTCAAAAGGACGCGCAGCTTTTGAAGCCTTTTCACACGTGGGTGTCACGACTTTTCATAGTAGTTTCTTGTGGTGGAGTCGTTGAAGAAACTTGCACTTGCCAGTTTGTAGAATTGGCAAGCATCCAGCAGAACCCTCATATCTTCTTCCGGTGATTGACTGTCGACTTGGAGCACCTCAGTTCCAAAACGGTGGTGTGACACATATTTTCTGAATATATATGTAGAAGAGAAAACCTGGAGGCAATTTTTGTTGCTGTGCGTTTCCAAGCCTAGCTCACGGGAGATCACTTGAAAGCCCTTCCAGGATAAATGAGTGCTAGCGAAGGCAAGACAGGGGAAGCGTCGGATCTTCGCGTGGAGCACATCCTTGGCAAAGAGTGAAGATGAAGCTGATGAAACATAGTTTCCTAGAAGTGTGTAAGACATGACACCATTTGTTCATTAACACCACACCCCATGGAAGTCACAAAATCTGCGCCTTGCCAGGATACATAGAGCTCTTCAAGTTTTTCACGTCAATTGGGGAACACTTCTTTGGCAGAGCATGAGGGAAAGTCTGTTGAACGCGGCTCTTCTTGGCATGTCGGTCTTGAATGGGACTTCGTCAGGGAAGATGGACCCACATTCGCCCTTTGCACTTGTGTGATGCAAGCAAGGTGACACCTGATTTGTAAGACCCGGCTGCCGAGGTGCAGAGGTTGATGCCAAAGGCGCGGGGCTCAGAATGGGTTCAGAGCTCCTGAAAGGCTGGTCCAAGTCACTCAAGTTAGGATGTGGAATGGATCTGGAGATCTGGATATTGTATCCGGAGGTTCTGATTGCAGAGCCAGAGTGGACAACTTTTGAACTCACATCGTCCGAGGCCGCTCCGCGCTGCACCTTGCCGCCCTCTCCTGTGAGATGGAGGAGGTTGAGCGCCTAGTGACTTCAGGAGCTGATATTGAAGCCACAGACAAGAAAGGCTGGGCACCCCAGATTTCCGCGTGCGAGAAGGATCGCATTTCGAAACGGTACAGTTTGGAAAACTCTTTTCCCAAACTTAGAGGAAGAATGTAGTCGCCATGCTGGAAGGACGAGCCAGAGCCAGAGTCAACCTTTAACAACCTTGGAAACAGTTGGAAGCTGCATGAAGTTGGCCCAAAATCCCTTGCAGTGAAGGCCCTTTCATTGAAAAGGGGCGAGCGGTGAGCTTCCCAGTGAAAGCAACACCTAAGAGGGTGCTCCCTTCAGCATGCAAAGCCTGGATCGAGCCGTTTGAGGCTTCCTCCGCGCCCGTTTGCGCCTCTGAGGCTTCACTCCATTGCATTTGGCATCCGAAGTGGGCCACCTGGACGTGGTCGACCGGCTCACGGAAGCCAAGGCAGACTTGGAGGCGATTGGTGGCTGTTTCAGCATGGAGCCCCAGAGGCTTGTGAAGATCGAAAGGTCGAAAGACATTAGATTCATGGGGCAGTCTGCATTTGCCGTGGTTCTGAGACTCAGAGTGTGTGGAATGCAGCTTCATCCTTGGACCAGTCACCCCACACGAGAGCAACAACAGCATCAATCGGCCCTGGCGGAGCCCTTTGATTCCCTCAAAATCTGAGGCCGAACTCCACTGCACTTGGCGGCGGAGAAGGGGCACTGTCAAGTGGTGGACCGACTCCTGGCGGCAAAGGCCGCCGTGGAGGCACAGGACCAGTATGGCCGGGGACCCAGGAGACCCTGGAGGCTTGAGGACGGAACGATTTGCAACACACGAATGTATTACACGAAGATGTTAAGACAGGAAGAGTTGTGGATTGGTAGGTTTTCAAGAGGACTATGATTCATGATGCTCTTGGAGCTGCCATCAGTGCGGTACAATCACTGGTATCCACGTTCGCGGAAAAGTCTTTGATTATTTGGTGCATGCTCAACTCGAGCAGCAGGCCACTGGAGGCAATAGCCTGTGCAGTGGAGAAATTTGCAATTTGCTGGGTGCGAGTGTTCGTCATCAAGAGTCCTGCATGGTGCTTTGCAAGATGATCCCTCCAAAGCAAAACAGAGTTCCAATGTCCAAGTCATGACCCATGCTTCATGACTTGACGCCCCTGTCGTCGACTTTTAATCACGGTGACTTAAACCATCGTAAACCAGCCTTTTCCTCTCTGCTGGTGACGTTCTTTTCACGTTGACTTCCACCAACTCTCCGGTCACTCGCCGCCGAGGCCGCACGCCGCTGCATCTGGCGGCAGAGAGCGGCCACCCCGCCACGGTGGACCGGCTCGTGGCGGGTGGCGCCACCGTCGACGTGAAGAGCTTCAACGGCCGGTTCCGTCAGTCGAAAGGTCTCCGGTGTTCGGCCGGAGGGCGAGGTCGGATCAGGTCAAAAGGGCGAGTTCGGAGGAGGGGAGTATACCAGAAAGAGTGCGAATTTGGATGAGTTGTGAGTCATGATGAGTCGATGTAAAGACGATGTAAAGGATGAATGTGGAGCAATTGGATGAACTTCTTCCTGGCATTTATTCAATGCCGTGACAAAAGTTTGGTTTGGTTGAGCTTCAATCCTGTTGACCAAAATATGGGACTGGTGGTGTCTTTGTGAATGGTAACCTGGTAGGGAACAGAACATGAATGGAGCCAGCTAGATATGCTCACTCAATTCAATATCATCGCACGAACCAAAAGATCTCAAGACTAAGCAAAACACTGTTGAGGGCGCGAACATACGCAAACAAATTGCAAGCTTTTGAAGATTGACATTTTTGATTTTGAAATCAAGCAAAGGAAGGCTCAACACCTCAGGATTTGCCCCTCTCCTTCAGTCCCTATAGTGTCTCTCTTTCCCACGAGCTTTCTTCGCCTCACCGAGGTCAGACGCCTCTCCATTTGGCAGCCGAATACTGTGGCCATCCCAAATTGGCGCAGCGGCTCCTGGACGCCGGGGCCGACCTCAAGGCCGACTACCATGGTGTGGGCGCCCGGGACTACGACGTCTCTGACCGAGAGGGGCCGGGCCCGGCCGGGCCCCACGGCTGCCGAGCACCAAGGCGACACCCCTTGGCAATGCGCCAGAGAGAACCACAAGGACGATGTGGCCTTCCTTCGCGGTGTTCCTCGGCCATCGGTGGCTGGGAGAGACTGAGCGACATCGACTCTCGGGCTGGAGAGATTGAAGAGCAACATAGTAGGTCAGCCGCCAAGCTGTGAGCGCTTGCATCAAACAAGTTTTTGACACATGTCAATGACGCACTGCACGCACTGCAGCATTCCAATTTTGCTAGTTTACAGATCTCGACTTGGCCAGTCTGGCAGTATCTCTCAGAGATGTGATCAATGAAGATCATCATATCAGTTTACCACACAACCAGCTGACACCATGAGCTCTTCACTTGAAAGAACATTTATGGAATCAACATAATGAGAGATTTTAATGGATCCAATGGAGATGTGTACCAAGCCCTGGCACATGTAAAGCTACTGAGTTTCCCCATCCATGTTTGTAACATTTTGTAACATATTACGGATGTTTTGTGGTGCAACATGGTACTCGAATCATGACCGTAACAACACCCGTCATTGCAGGCCACTCCTGCTGTTGATGAGGAGGAAGGCAAAGGGGCTAGTCTGGGCTGGTGGTGGAATTGGGTGGGCGCGGACATTGTTTGGATTTGGGGAGAGAGATTCAGAGGCTGACGCTGCAGCTGCACCGTTTTGGAGCCGGATGACAACTTGACCCGAACTGAAAAGATCGCAAACGTGTACTAGCCACATCATGCCAGTTGTAGCTCAATTGTACTCACTCTTCCTCAGAACCCTGACTGTCTCAGGGCAGGAGGCGCTGCTTAACGCAGCCAGGTTTTCAAGGACTGGTGGTGAAATGGGTCTTAATCAGGTGCCTTCAAGCTGTCTTGTTGAAGGCTGGTTTCCGCTGCACAGTGCCACTTTTGACAACGACGTGGAGGAGGTCGAGCACCAGCTGGTGGGTGCCAACATTGAAGACGCAGATAAAAGAGGCTGGGGCGCGGGAGCTTCGGGAATGATTATTATGACATCATTGTCAGTTCCCTTTTTCATTGTGTTACACACGGTTAATGGTGGAATATTAAGATGCCATGGAGGCTGGGCCTCCAGAGTCCATCTTGAACAACGTGAGTTGATGTTGCAGCTTTGTGGGTCCAAAAATCCCTCCCACAGCGAAGGCGAAGGCCCTTTCCTTGAAAAGGGGTGAGGTTCCCATAGCGTGAAAACAACACCCGAGAGATCCCGAGAGTGTTTGAGTTTCATAGTCCTTGGCAGTGGATCCCTCCAGCAACAATACGTGGATCGAGCCGTTTGAAGCTTTCTCCGCACCCGTCTGCACCTCTGAGGCTTCACTCCATTGCATTTGGCATCCGAAGTGGGCCACCTGGACGTGGTCGACCGGCTCACGGAAGCCAAGGCTGACTTGGAAGCGAAGGGCGGCGAGTACAGCGGGGGAGCCCCAGAGGCTTGCGGGCTTGGAAGGAATGAACAATTCGGAAGGGCGATTCTGATTGTTTTCGGCCCGAAAAGGTTTGCCCGAACATGTGGTCACAGAAAGGTGTCAAAATGCCAGGAAGAGGGAGAGTAGAATGGAAGGGACAAAGAGACGTGTGACAGGCTTGAATAAATTGATGAGATGATCCCTTCAAAGCGAAACAGAGTTCCAATGTCCAAAATGACCCCTCCCATTCTTCATAAATTGAGAGGGGTGTCAACTTCTTTTCAGGTTGTCTGAAACCAACTCTTTCCACGATTTTGCCGGAAAACGAAACTCTTCGGCGCCGCCACGGCCGAGGCTATACGCCACCGCTGCATTGTGCGGCGCAGAGTGGCCACCCCGCCACGGTGGATCGGCTCCTAGCGGCCGGCGCCGCCGTCGACGCGAAGGACAACAATGGCCGGGCGCCTTAGAACGGGTTCAGCGGATCGGCCTCAGCGACGAGAGAATTGGACGAAGGACGAGAGGGAGTCGGGTTAAATTGGGTGAGTCCCCGAAACTAAGGAGTCCCCGAAACTAAGGACGGGTTTGAATTATGTGCCAGGCAGTCACTTCATCCAAACTTGCATGTTGAATCTTTCTTTCCTGATTCTTTATATATTCGTTTTTTTTGTGCAAACGTTTGAATGCGATTCAGACTTCGTGAGCCCAACCACGAAAAAAGATCAAAGCATGAAAAAACGAAAACCCCAAAAAGACAACTGGACGTGCATGCCTCTCCGCTGATTCCCTTCTGCGACCTGTCAAAGGGGGTTTTCTCCGCTCGTCCTCCGCGCCTCATGAGGTCAAACGCCCCTCCACTACGCGGCCCACTACGGCCGCTCGGAGGCGGCGCAGCGCCTGGTCGACGCCGGCGCCGACGTCGACGCCCAGGACGTCATGCGCCCGGGGCGCCCGGAGAACGGAGCGGAGCAGAGCGGGGCGGGTCGAGGTCTCTCGGCGTCGCGGGCGACGGGTCGCCTTGCGCCGAAGCAAAGCGGCCGAGGCACAACGCCCTGGGTGTTGGCCAGAGAGACTGGCAAAGCGAGGCAGATGGCGCCGGTTCTGCGTCCCGTGCCTTGGCAGCTCTTTGAACCACACCATGTTTCAATGATTTCATTTGGTTTCCTTTTTGAACAGTTGCTGGATGACGCCCCCTTCACCATCATTCGCATCTGTGAACGTTCTATTTTTGGATTGGTCACGAGTTTGAATTGGCGAGTTTTCTTTTCTCATGCGTGAATTCTTGAGCTTATTCGATGATGAGGGATGTTGGATTTGGTACATCTTGGAGCTTAGACTGCTTAGACTGCATGATTTAAAAAGCAGCTGTTGCAACAATTATCCGTCCTCCTACCCTCGCTTCAATGATTGCTTGCCTCTTTCAAACCTGGCATGGAAGAATGGCGCTCTCGCATGCTCTCGCTAGATTGGACCATCTCTGTTTTGCTTACATGCTTTGCGCCAAATCAACCAACCATTGTGCGACCCGACCATGCATTGCTCGACTACCTCTTGCAAGGAGGAGTTCCTCCCGGATTCCATTCGATCTTGTTTGGTTGTTCATGTGCTCACAGACCAGTTACCCGCACGTCGATGAGTCATCGACACCTTGCAGTGGCAATGCGGGGTTTGGAGAAAAGGTCAAGGTCTTCTGTCATTCCATAATCCTTGAAAGCAAGTTCTTGCGTAGTGGACAGTGGTTCATGTTTCCACGGGGTATGCCTCCAATTTTTTTAATTCAAGGGCTATATATTTTGTTTGAGATTGTTTGAGAATCTGACATCAGTTCTGGGTTGCCATGCGAGCTTTGTCACTGACAACAGAGTCTCAGTTTGTTCTTTCCAATTGTTCGGCGGCTTTGCAGACTTTTCAGGTGTATGTCTCTTCCCTTGGTGGACGCAACGTGCCCTGCAGCTTGGCAATGTTGACCAGTTGTGTGCGTCAGCTGACCATTTTGGTTCACCTCTCGAGGTGGTCACTGGCCAGAGCGGCGTGTGATTGAGCTCAAAGAAGAGGCCGAGTAGCTCGGATGCAACTGGCCCTTTTTTGGGAAAGTTCAACGATGCATGTTGATGCATGTCTTTGGCGGGGGGGGAGGCAACGATGTTTCTGCTGCGTGGCGAGAAGCTGCTCAGCCGCCTGTGCGTTTGTGCAATTGCTTTATGACTGAGGCAAAAGCTTGGCTGCAAGATTTGTGAACTCATCGCCAGCTCTGGCAAGCCTTTGCGCCTTGCATAATATTCGCTGCTCTTCCAGCACTGTGTTGAAGCACGTTTGGCTATTTTTTGCCAACCCTGGGTGCCGCTGACTGAAGTTCTTGGGGCGGGATTTCAAATTCTAGATCCTGATCAATCCTCATGATTCGCCTTCAACCAGTCCTTGAGAAATGTCAGGATAAGATACTTGACATACTTCGGTCCATCCCACCATGTGGCAATGCAATTGATGTCTTTGATGTGGGTCCCGCAATTGGATTGGTTGCACCGGCTTGATACTGCAGTGAGTTCTGTCAGGCAGGAGAGGTTGACCCTGGAAGAAGACGGGGTCAACTGCTGGGACCATATCACTGCCGTTGCTTTGGCTTGGCAGCCCAGTGGCACGTGCGACTGTCAGTTGGAACACGCTCAATCAAAACGTGTTTGAGATGGAAGCGCCCTTCCTCCTGAACTTGATTAATTACGTCGCAGATGTTCAATTGCTTCATATCGTTGTTGAGATGTCTATGCCCTTTTGTGAGGTGCCAACAGATCCTACAGAGTCCACAGACCATCATGCAGCGCAGCCAGCAATCAGCTCACTTGACGTAAAGCCATCCCATGGGACCACTCAAGTGTCGACGTGCTGCAGGATCATTCAAAGTGACGCGACCCTGCGTAGGAATATTTGAGGGTACTCTCTGCCCATGTGAATTTGAGGGTGACCAGCAAACAAGCCAGTACCCAAAACGGCCCGATTCGGAAGGCTTGTATGGCAGTCGACAAGTTTAACTCGCAAAGGGTTAGGTTGCTGGACGCTGGCAGGTATAGCGCAACTCTGACAATCTAAGTGAAGATAGTCAAGGTTCAGGAGCTTTGAAGAAATGCCGAGGCTTCTGGACGCCAGTCTGGTGAGTTTGCAGCTGGAGATGCACGTGGCAGCAACCAGGCGCAGCTTGTTCTCCTATCCAGTTCACCCATCTGTAAAAAGAGTTGACTAAGCACCAATCTGCAGGTTTGTACCCACCTTTTGTAAAGAATTTAGATGAGTTTAGTGCACTTATCAACGCGCTAAAATTCGATTTTTCCCCAGATAGCGAAGCTATGGGGTTCTTACTTCAAATAATTGATAGTGAGTTGCCCATGCGCGCTTTCGAGACAGGTTGCTGGTGCTGGGTGCCGGTGCTGTGAGCTGGCTGTGCACGTGGTGGAGACAGGTTGC